CCAAAACCCCAAAACCCCGTCATGCAAATTTCTAAAGTTTCAAGAGTATTTAATATCAGGATTCTTAATTAAATTTCAATCAAATAAATATCTGAACTAGTGATTATTAATTAAGGAAAATTAATCTTTAATAGTCAACTATGTTTGAAGGAAACTAATATTTTTATTTATTTAAATGTCATAATATACTTGTAACTAAGTCCCTTCTGAGTAAAAAGTGTTCTTAGCGAAGAAAGAAGAAGACTAGCCTATTTAGAAAGTATAAGTAGTAAAATCAATGATTTAACTCGGAGTACCGGTAATCTTTCAAGCATTCATGACATTCTTGAACTAAACTGTAAATATATACTACTCGGGATATAATCCTGATCCTTCAGTAGTAGCAGGAGTTGGACTAGGTACAACATTTATTAATGTTGCATATATTGCAGTATGTTTTGGGTTTAATGGAGTTCTATAGTCTTTGATTTCCTAGTCTATTGGAGCTTGTAATTATAGACAGAGTGGAATTTATGTTAATAAAGCAAGATTAGTAATTACAATATGGTGCCCAATAGCAATATTCTTTTCTTTCTTTCTTGAAAATGCACTTATTGCTATAGGTATTGATGACCATACTGCATAATGTGCTCAGATATATACAGTAAGATAGATACCAGGATTAATAGCTTTTATGTATTTTGATATTGCTAGATAGTTCTTGGTTGGCTATGGAAAACCTTTATTGAGTACTTATATTTAGGTCATATCTGGAATACTCCACATCTTTCTTTGTTAGATATTAATCGTAAAGATGGAACTACCCTACTACTATACTAGCTATTCCTCATGCCTCTAGTTCATTGCTAATTTTGTTATTATTCATGCTTTGATCAAACTAAATTCTTAGTACAATGAATCATGGTTCCTTGGAGGAATGGAAACATTTTAAAATTTTGCCTAATATGCTAAATTAGCAGTGTCATCAGCTACAATGTTTTGCTTGGAATTTTTAGGATTTGAGCTTTTGTGTATAATTTCCGGTTACATATCTGTTACTGCGAATGCCGCATAAGTCATAACACTTACCACAAATTTAATGTTCTTTGTGATTCCAACAGGTCTGAGTATGGCTTCTACTACCATTATTGGATAACTTATTGGTTAAAAGAAAAGTAAACTCGCGAAGGCATAGTCTAGATTCATCATTAAATTTTCTTGTCTTCTTGCTCTATTCATGGGAGGACTATTATTTATTCTTAGACATTAATTGGCAAGATCATTTTCAACAAATCCTGAAGTAGTATATATCACCTCTGAAGCATTCAAAGTATCTGCTATCTCTGCTGGTCTTGACGTTATTTATGTAATATAACAAGGATCAATTAGAGCGTTAACTAAGTTCAATCATGCAGTAGCTGGAGGACTTGTTGCATTTTATGTCTTTGCTTGTCCAATTGGAACTCTCTTAGGAATTCATTTTAACCTAGGAGTGCCGGGTTTATGGATGGGTTTGGTAATTGGACAAACATTTGTAGTTTCATACTTTTAATACTTGTTAAGTTGGGGTTTTAATTGGGAGAAGATAACTTAAAATTGTTCTGACCGATAAGATGATGATTTAAAGACTAATGGAAGAAAAAATTTTCTGGCAACTAGTTTTGATAAAATCTTAGAGAATAATGATGATTAAATTATTGAGATGCAGACCAATACTTATCTTTTGGAAAACCCTGATAAATTAAATATGATTTAAAACAAATGAAAGTTCAAGAATTTAACTTGGTAACTTAAGAGTTTGAATCATTCAAACGATCATCAAATATCATAATTTATAATTGCTTTTGTGATTAAAAATTCATCTAGTTATATTTCTTTTCTTGTAATATCTGGTATTGAAGTGGGGTTTTGGGGTTTTGGGG